GGGGGAGCGGGGGGAGAAAGAGAAGGGGGTTGAGTCAGCTGAGCTGGAGGAGACTTAGGCAGCCCAGGGGTCTGTCCTGTGCCACCAGCAGGGCGCCCAGGAGGGGTCCGGCGCCAGGCGGAGGCAGCCTTTGGCCTGGGCCTGACCTGAGCTGACCGCCTGGCTCCCGTGAGGGGACAGGCCAGAGCTACGACAGAGAGGCTAAGCCAGCAGAGTCCAGGGATGCCACCCTAACGCCCCCCGGGGGTGGAGGGTGAGGAGGGGGGGCAGCCTCCCACCGGCCCACCCTGCGGCCCCTCCCCCAAGCCTGGGGGCCGCGCCGAGGCGGAGGCGGCGGGGCCGGGGCTCCCGGTGCAGAGGGTGCAGACAGAGGTCTCGGCTCAGCAACGACAGACAGTGGGGGGGGCGGGCTGGGGAGTACAAGCACCCGTGTCGCTCAGGGGTCCTCGGGCCGGAGCTCTCCAGGAAGGAAACGCACATTTCACACGTTAGCCTGGCGGGACCTACAGCCGGCGCTGTAAGGTGGCGCCCCTGGGCGGCACCCACCTTGGAGCCCCGCTCGTTAAAAATGATCTCCACGTCTAAAATTTTTCCGAATTGCTGCGGAGAGAGAGAGGGGCGGGGGAGACGGGAGAGGGTGCGTTAGGAGCCGCCCCGCGCCCCGGGAGGCGCCGGCCGCTGCCGGGCCTGGTCCTCGGCCTGGGTCGCTTCCGCCCTGGCTCGGGAGGGAACGGACACTCGGGGTAGCGTGAGGGGGACCGGGCCGCCCGCCCCGCCTTCTCGCGGGGAGAGCCGTTCCTGCCCGGGTCCCAGCCCCATCTACACGCCCGGGCTGTGGCTGGCGTGGGGCGAGTGCGGCGCACTGGTGCTGTCCTGTTCTCTCCAGCTGGGACTCTGCCACACGTTGCTGACAGCCCCCGGCCACCCCTGCCTAATTCACACTAATGGGTAAAGGGCTATGGAAAAGTCCTTCCCAAGAGGGGCTGCTCGGCAGGGAGCAGGAGCCCCTGGGACAGAAAGTGCCACGGAGGGGTCAGCGTGTCTGCCGCTCGTGCTGCTTGGGGCTGGGCTGTGCGGGCGCAGAATGGTCGAAGCTGGACCCCAGGTCCCTCTGCCTGACCAGGTGGGACACACTGGCCGGGTGGCCCCGACGCCCTGGCTTCCTGTCTGCCCTGTCGCTGGCCTGGAACTGCCGGGGGCAGCCTGTCTCTCTCATCGGCACGTGAGACCACGACCAGTGACCAGGTCTCCAAAGTGCCAGCGGCCTGCAGTGATGGGTTTCTCATTCACTCCGAAACCCAAGAGGCGGGTGTCACGGGGCAGCAAGGTGACGCGGAGCCAGCCAGCAAGGTGGTCCCGACTGCCGGGTGCCGGAGAGAGGGGGGAAGGTGCTCGCCCCGGGGCAGGGACCGACTGAGCCGCGGGTGTCAGGTGGGGACCAAGTTTCGGGCGTCATTAGGGTGGGCGGGCAATAAGACTGTAGGGCTCAGGTCAGCGAGAGCTCCCCAACACAGCTGCTTTAAGGGGAACCCCAGGCTCAGGGGTTTTGCTGGCTGCACGGGTCCAGGGCCGAGAGGGGCAGAGTCCTCCTTTGCTAATAATTCTAAATCCTGCCCGCACCCCACCATGCTTAAGGCCCAAATCCTAAAGGGCCTGTCCCCCGAGACGGGGAGCGGGTGTCTAGGTGAGCTCCAGCATGGGTGCTGGGTGTCCTGAGGCCACTCCCATGCACCCCCGTTTGCCTGCCAGACCCCGTCGGGGTGGGGTGGCACGAGGGGGGGTGGGGTCCAAGGCCCAGAGACCGCCTGGCTTTGGGACGCACGGGTGGCCCAGCACAGGTGGGGGAGAGTCGGGGCGAGGGAGGGCAGGGCGGAGTAACACAAGCCAGGCGCACGTGTGTCCCGTGCTGGGGCGCTGGGAACCAGGAGGCTGCACGGCTCCGGGCTGAGTGCCTGGCCGGTGCCCGCACACCTGCCCACGCGGCAGCCCAGCACCCCGTGGGCGTCAGCACCTGCTGGGCGCTCAGGTGGCAGAACAAAGTAGCAGCAGGACTACAGGGCTGAACCCCGCAGTGCAACCTCGGATGGACCCGGAGCACGCTGGGGGACAGTCGGGCACTGGCGTCCCATCACTGGGCACCTCCTGTCACCCCCCCGGGGGGTGCAGGCCCAGAGAGGCTGAGCGCCCGGCCCCCAGGCACACGGGTGAGGCAGGGACCGGACCGCTGCTGGGTGTGGGGCCAGGGGCTTGGGTTGCCCCACAGGGGTCCCGGAACCCTTGCCAGGAGATGGCAGCAGAGTAATAGACTGGCGGGCACTGGCCTTGGCCTTGAGGGGCCGTGTGAAGCCCCGAAGACAGGTTAGTGGGGAAAGGCGGTTGATGTCTGGCCGGGGGTCCATGGCTACTGTAGACCCCCGACCCTGAGCTGTGTCCTCCTTCCCTGTCCTCCCTCCCACCCCACAGACTCAGGTCAGAGCTGGCCGGACCAGGGTCCCGGGCGAGGGGGCCGCACACACTCACCCCGAACATTTGCCGCAGGTCGGGGTCCCTGAACCGGAAGGGGATGTTGGAGACGTGTAGCCGCTTGGGCTGCTGCTTCTCTGTGGGGTCGGGGGCGTGGAGTGGCTGGCTGTCCGTCTGTGCCGCCTCGTCTGTCTGCTGTGGGGAGAGAACCCGGGCTGAGGTGCGCCTCTCAGCCCCCGTCCCACGGGGAGGGGACAGTCTCCCCGACCCCCTTGCACCCCCTCCCGGGGCCAGGACCCGCACGGGAATGCGGGCAGACGATTTGCACCGCAGGTGGCACAGCAGCATCTCAGCCGCGGAAGAGCTGCCCGCCAGGCTTGTGACACCCCGCAAGGCAAAGCCTCACTGACCCCTCCGCTAGGCCGCGTCCGCAGAGCTCTGGCCTCAGTGGCCCCTCAGCTCCATGGACTGTTTGGTTCCTGGGGTCGCAGCCTGCCCTTTTCCCCACAGGGACCGTTCGGGCACCCAAGGCCTGGACGACTGGGTGACCGCCAAACCCACCCGGCACACACATCTGAAGGGGTGCTGTCTGCACCCCATGGTCACCTGGGAGCTGCACCTCATTCTAGCCCTGCTCAGCACGTTGGGGGCCACGCTCTGGGTGACCACGTTCATCCTTTATAGCTGGTCCTTGTTTTGGACCCAAACGTTGGGGATCCAAAAGGCTTGGGTCTCAGGGAACAGGGGGTCTACACGGCAGGCTGCCCACCCCATCAGCTGGCCGCGAGGACGGGGCCGTGGCTGGGCCCCC